AACAAACATAGCGAGTGAGACAAAAGGAGACAGAAGAATATATCCCAAATGGGAGAACAATAAATAAAATCACAGTAAAAGAGCTAAATTAATCAGAGATAAGCAGTACTTCTGATTAAGAATTAAAAGTAATGGTCACACATTAACAGACATTTCTGCAAAGAAGACATAAAGATGGCCAAAAGAAACCTGAAAAGATGCTCAATATCACTCATCATCAAGGAAAGGTAAAATAAAACTACAATGAGATATCACCTCACACCTGTAAGAAAGGCAAAAACCAAAAACTTAAGAAAAAAATAATGGTAAGGATATGGAGAGAAAGGAACCTTTTGTACTGTTGGTGGGAATGCCAACTGGTGCTGCTACTGTGCAAAACAGTATGGAGGTTCCTCAGAAAGTTAGAAACAGAACTCCCCTATGATCCAGTAATTGCACTACTGGGTATCAACCCCCAAAATACAAAAACACTAATTCAAAGGAATACATGCACCCCTATGTTTATGGCAGTATTATTTACAATGGCCAAATTAGGGAAGCAGCCCAAAAGTCCATCGACAGATGAATGAAGAAGATGTGGTTGGTATATATATATACAATGGAATATTATTCAGCCATAAAAGAAGAATTAAAGCTTGCCATTTGCGACAACATGGATGCAGTTAGAGAGTATAATGCTAAGTGAAATAAGTCAGAGAAAGACAAATACCATATGATTTCACTCATATGTAGAATTTAGGAAACAAATGAGCAAAAGCAAAAAAACAGAAGATAGAGACAAGAAACAGACTCTTAACTGTAGAGAACTGATGGTTACTAGACGGAATGTGGGTGGGGGATGGGTGAAATGGGGGATGGGTATTAAGGGGGGTACTTATTGAGATGAGCATTTGGGTGACATAGGGAATTGTTGAATCACTATATTGTACACATGCACCTCATATAACACTGTATGTTAACTACACTGGAATTAAAATAAAATACTTAATAAAAAAATTAATGGTCTTAAAGATACTCACTGGACTTGAGACACAAGTGGATGAAATCATTGAGAAATTATACAGAGACAGACAATATTGAAAACACCAGTCAGAGCTGATGAGTTCAATAATGAATTCAATAAAATACATACTAGAGGGCATCAACAGCAGATTAGTTAATGCAGAAGAACGGATCACCAATCTGGAAGACTGGGTACTGGAAAGCAATGAAGCTGACTGGCAGAAAGAGGGAGAACAGATTAAAGAAACTGTGACCTTATCAAGAATAATAACATTTGCACTACAGAGATCCCAGAAGGAGAAAAGAGAGAGAAAGTGGAATAAGAAAAAAATACCTGAGAACTTCTCAACCGATATCTCAGTCCAGAAAGCACAGAGCCCCTAACAAGATGAACCACAAGGTCTACACCAAGACACATTAATAAAAATGGCAAAAAGTGATGATTAAGAGAGAATTTTAAAAGCAATAAGAGAAAAGAAAACAGTTCTATACAAGGGAAACCCCATAAGTCTATCATCTGATTTTTTAGCAAAAACTTTACAAGCCAAAAGAGAATAGCATGATGTATTTAAAGTGGCAAAGGAAAAAGACAACCAAGAGCAGAATTGTCAAATCAATAGGTTATACACCTGAAACTAACATAACATTGTATTTCAATTATACTTAATAAAAAGTATGGTTTTGGCCAAGAATTAGACAAAAAGACCAACAGAACTGAATAAAGAACTCAGAAATAGACCCACATACATGGAAATTTAATATATGACAGAGTAGCAATGTGCATCAGTGGGGAAATGATGAATTATTTTCAACAAATGGTAGCTAAAGTAAATAGGAAAAAAGGCCAAAGTTATTGAATCCCTATCTACAATATAGCAAAACAAAAACCCTCACAAAACTTAGAAAACAACAATACAAGTCAATTCCAAATACCTTTAGACTATTTGAAAAATATACAGGAAGATACCTGTATGACACTGGGGATAGAGAAGAATTTCATAAGGCAGATAATACAGACTGGAAAGATGATGAAGCAAATGGGAAGTCACAATTTACTAAAGAGATCATAATGAGAACATACAAACCACAACTGGGAAATGATAGCTGCTATTCATATTATTAAGAGAAAAAGGAGTCTGCTCTGAAAATATTTTAAAACTTTCAAAAATTAACAGGAAAAATACCATCAATAGGAAAATGGACAAAATTTATATAGGATTTCACAGATGAAAAAACTCAATTGCCAATATGCATATAAAACTATGTTTATTCCCCATTAGTAATCAGGAAATTGAAATTAGAACCCCAATGAGATACCATTTTATACCTATCAGACTGGTAAAATCTCAAGGACTGAAAACACCGAATGTGGGAGACAAAGGTGATGATAAATCAGTATCGGCATTTAGGAAAATGATTTGGTTTAGGTAATCAAGGTAAAAATGTTGCTTTTTTTACGACCCAGAAATATTCTACCCACATTTATTCTAGAGGAGCTCTCATGCTCCAGTAGACAAGAAAAGAAAGTTTATAGCAGCTGTTTATAATAAAGAACTGGCTAACTCTATTGTTGATCAACAGGAAAATGGATAGATTGTGCCACATTCATATAATGGACTGAAATGGATGGATCCAAGAAATATAATGCTGAGTGACAAAGCAAATGTAGAGGAATTTATATATACTGTTACCACTACAAAGTTAAAAAAACAAGCAAAAGTAAATAGCATTGATTAAATATACATGTGTGTACTTGTATAAAGAAATAATGCAAAATTCAGAGGAACACGAAGTAAACAAAAAGGACAGAAGGTGATTCAGGAATACAGACAAATAAGGAGTCTGGTTTATGATTAAAATCCTATGAATGGTTTTTCAGGCCTGACCATAAGCAAACACAGAAGCTTTACCTGACAGACCTTACAGGACAAACTGCCCTTATGTCTCCCTGGCCAGTGATGCTCTTTTACATATTTACATCCCTAGGCCCAACACCAGCATTCCTAGGTTCTTTCTATGAGGCCTTGGGCAGAACGCTTGTTCAGGTGCCTCTAATGGGACCCCTTTAAAAGGGGTAGAACAGGGAAACTTGAAGACACTTCGACCCCCCGTCCCTTAAGTAGCACCCAGTGCTTTTCTGCTTTTAGCTGACTGCCACCCCTCCACCCTCCCCCTACGTGCACCTTCAGGGCTAAAACTGCCACTGCCTTTTGTTTAGGAGCCCCTCATTAGTCAGATGATCTCGACATGTGTGCTGATCTGCCTGAATCTGGATCAGTGCACTGTTCCAAAATGGATTTGAGGTAAGGAGAATCAGCATCTCCTCCAGTTTTAGACTCCTGTTTATACCACTGCACCAAGTGATCAAAGGCTTAACTCTTTCAATTTTGGCTGAGCCTGACAGCTCAACTCTTGTTTAGCTCCACAGACCCTTGACAGTAATGTATTTCTTTTTTTTTTTTTTTTTTTGATAGTAATATATTTCTTAAGTTGGGTTGTATAACAAAGCTACTTTGAACCTCCTCCGTAAAAACTTTTAACAACTTAAGTTCTGTGGAACTCTTATGGGGAGGACAAATATGATGAAATCACAAAGAAGGTTGTGTTTAAATTATAGCTTCAGTATCTCGGGATACACAAAGGTGAAGGAAATTGTGGGGTTATCAGAAAGGTGCTTCATTCTTTTTAAAATTTGTGTGCACAGCAGTATGTAAGACCCAAAGGAATCTTTTAAAGCATACAAGTTATCCTTTAAATTTTCTCTTCTTTGGCATGAGATCTTTCAAGAAAATTCATTTTCTATTTGCTTTCATATGTCTAAATGTGTCTATACCAAATTTGTGGATGAGTTTCTACAGTTACTACTTTATAAAATAGCGTATGTGTGTAAAATGTCCTTCAACTATTTTCTTCATTCAGACTGCTCTATAAAATTATATTTGTCCTTAAACTACTTTCTTCGTACCTCAGGGATTTCATAAATCAATTTATTTTTTGCCTCAACCATACAGGCTCCATTTCTATCTCCTTTTGGTTTATGTTGTGGGGTACTGATTTTTTAGGTCTTATTATAGAAGCTCCCCGGCTCCATTCCCTGACGATCATATCTGGAGCTTTCCAAACAGATCCCATAATATCACAAGTGGTAAATACTAAAACCACACAGTATTTTATGCTCTGGCCATCGTTTTATTAAAGGAGAAATTATATTTTATGTCCATATTGTATGATTATCATTCTACGGTAACAAATTCTCAAAGGTAAAAAAGGTTTCAGAAATTTCCTTGCCCTTATTTTGCTAATTCCTTCTACCTGTAGTATAGTTAGTTATAATTTAGAATGTGCTTTCCCATTCGCTCTTTTGATCCTTACAACTGTACTAATTCGGTTGCACACATATATATACTCCCATTTTACATACGAGAAAATCAAAACAAAAGAAGAGGTTATTATGACACCTCTGAGGTCACTCAGCTAGTTAAACCTGAACCCAGAAACTGGTATTCCTATTCCATTGTGTACCTGTGAGACACTTTGTACACCAAGTCTCTGCTATTTGCTACTTGTCATAAACTTGTGGGACAACTGTAAAATAATAAAACTAAATCAACTTACCTATGATAATGAATTATTCAGGATCTTTATAAAGAATACTAGTGCTTTTGTCAAATACAGCTTTTGTCAAATCTGTTACTTTTGAGGTGAATTTCATTCATCTATTAAACATCATATTAAACGTTATTGACAGCAAGGCAAAGTACTTTAATCATGTGTTTTTCTCAAATTTTGCTCTTACACAGTTTCTATTTTCTTCATATATTATTATTATTATTATTATTATTATATTTAATGCTTTCAGCAAGAAGATACTTGGCAAAATCCTTACTTAAACCTGACCAATGCAGAAATGTTTCCCCTAACATTTTAGTTAGGAAAAAATCGCTTTAAAAAGAGACCTTAGACAAAGTTACCAAACATTTTTGCATTAGTTTCCTTACCTCCAAAAAGATGGAAGGCTTTCCTGCAGCTTGGGAGCGGCCATTTTGCAGAGCTGGATTTCTGAAAGCTTTGTTTTATTTTCAAATACTCTTTAGTAAAGAATGTTTTTGTGGCATTGTTCAGTTCTAGAGTAAAGCAAAAGAAAACAGTAGTTTTAGACGTTAATTTGACTAAAATGGCAAGAGCATGAAAAATTGTTACAGTATTTTGACAACAAATTTCGATCTCTTTAAGAAAGAAAACGAGTAAACTTTTTAATTTGAATTCAAGCGAACATAATTCCCTCAAATTCACATTTGATGCAACTTTGATGTGTCTACACATACAGTATACATCTACTGGGAATCTCCTATGTCAGTTATTATGCCATAGGCAGCAAAGAGAAAAACCCAGTCCTTGCCCTCAATAAGACTCAAGATTAAAAGACAGAAACAGGGGCACCTGGGTGGCTCAGTTAAGCGACTGACTCTTGGTTTCGTCTCAGGTCATGATCACACGGTGGTTTTGTGAGTTTGAGCCCCGCATCAGTCTCCGTGCTGACAGTGTGAAGCCTGCTTGGGATTCTCAGTCTCCCTCTCTCTCTGCCCGCCCCTCCCTGACTGGCACTGTCTCTGTGTCTCTCAAAATAAATAAATAAACTTAAAAAAAAAAAAAAGGTAGAAATAAACAGGTAGACAAAAAAGGGAAAAATGTGTTACAGGTGTAGCAAGAGAATAACCAGAGTACAATCCTGGCTCAGGAGAGAGGATAAAAGGGAAAAATCTTTTACAATTTTTCCTACTGCATCATCTCTTTAGTTCATTCTATATGTGATGGTCAAGAATTTACTGAATCTAATGCTGCTGATTGGAGAAAGTTTAAAAAAATGCAGAATCATGGGTGCCTGGGTGGCTCAGTCGGTTAAGCGTCCGACTTCGGCTCAGGTCATGATCTCATGATCCGTGAGTTCGAGCCCCGCGTTGGGCTCTGTGCTGACAGCTCAGAGCCTGGAGCCCATTTCAGATTCTGCGTCTCCCTCTCTCTCTGCCCCTCCCCTGTTCATACTCTGTCTCTCTGTGTCTCAAAAATAAAACGTTAAAAAAAAAATGCAGAATCAAATTCTCAACCTTTCAGAGACTTCCTTATGAGTGAAAAAGAAAATATTCATTGGAAGTAAACACAGACCAATCAGAGAACAGATGTAATGATATTCACTTTAAATTCTAGAAAGTACTTGAACTCTCTATGAGCCATGGAAAGCCTAAGCACATAGAGAAAAAAATGCTCACCTCTAAAGGGAACAATACAAGTTAGGGGAAAAGATAACCTGCTATCATAGCCTGCATTCAGTAGAATGGGACTAGTTTGAATCAAAGAAATACAGTAATATAAATCTCTTCAGGCCTCGCAGATTCTCACCCTGGGTGGCTGTAAGGTCTACTAGTAAGTGCATGCCCTATAGAATTTGGGGTCCAGAAAAGCTCTGCATGCGGGGAAGGGAGGCCAACCAGGAATACCTCATCCAGCACTGATGAGTATTTATCTGTGTGTCCTCGGAAAATAAATTAAAACCTCATTTTCATATTCTTTACTCATAAGCTGTTCAAAGCTAAAAATCTTGCTTAGGAAGTCCCATTTTCCAGCTAAATATGCACCATGATGACAGAGGCATATAGAACAGGGACAAAACCAAACCCAAAATTCTAAATATGATACTGTTGAAATGGAGTTACAGATTTTACAATATGTGAATCATTATAATTATACAATTTATGCTGAACTGAGGTTAATATTTAGGAGTTCCTATTTTAATATCTAGGTAAGCCATAATTAATGACTTATCCATTTTAATTTAGTGAGTCCATTTAGTATTTGCTACAATATTTTGTTCTCATAATTTTATACCAGAATAATGAAAAAGTAATTATCATCATTTTTAACCCTTCTGGCCCAGGAGAAATCTGCTACTATTATGACTTTCTCAGGGGAGAGCATTTATCCAAGCTTTCACCTCAAGCAGTTGTGATCACTTTATACTTACTGATGTCTTTTAGTGACTTTGGAGCACTCAAGAATCATTTCAGTAACTGTTTCATCACCCAAGAATAGCTAGTTTATCCTCTGCTAGAGGAATTATAAGACCAAGAGGTGATCTATTAAATTAAGCCCAGTTTACCCACAATATTTACCGAGCTCTTGCTAAGATAAAGACAAAATGTTAAATACTTTATACTGTGATGATGCATCCTGTTATTATTTTGTATGTAAAGTTACATTTCAAGATTTAGAAAAAGGCTTTTGAAATCCTAGGGATAGGGATATATTACTAGATCCTCAAAAGGTTATCACAACATCCATCCTTGCCTTCGAAGAATCTGTAATACTGTCTTCTGTGTGAAAAAAGACTCTTAAATACTGAGAACTGAGGGTTGACGGGGGGGTGGGGGAGACGGGAAAGTGGGTGATGGGCACTGTGGAGGGCACTTGTTGGGATGAGCACTGGGTGTTGTATGGAAAACAGTTTGACAATAAATTATATTTAAAATAAAGAGAAAGAAAGAAAGAAAGAAAGAAAGAAAAAGAAAGAAAGAAAGAAAGAAAGAAAGAAAGAAAGAAAGAAAGAAAGAAAGAAACGGAAGAAAGAAAGACAGAAATTCCATCTTCCCTGTGCACCACATCATAGCCAATGATGCAGTTTGGTTTATTACTTTTAAAACTGTCAAAGTCACATATAGCTCTGGTTTAAAAAATCCAACAGCATAGAAGGGCAAAACGAAACAAAAAACAAAATGACAATGATCTGTTCTACTCCTTATTTCTACCTCCCCTCCCAATCCCCAGGGACTATTTAAGCATTCCTGTTTTTGTTTTTGTTTTCTGGAGATTAACCTCTGTAAGAATAAGTCATTGGTGTTCAAGAGTTGGTTTGCAAAACACTAGCGACATGTGAAATGATTTTGGGTGATACTGAATGAAAATGTTTAAACATTTAAGTTACCTATTTAATGCACATTAGAAAAAAAATGTATATTAAGTAGAGCATCAAACACATACATTCACAAATACATTGCTAAGGATGAAGCTAATATAAGTATTTAAGAAAAAAGGTGTGTTGATATGAGGAAACTTCTTAAAAAAATAATTCAGGTGGTACACAGATACAGAAAAAATTGTAAAGGTGGTACCACAGGGGTACAAAATGAGTTTCACCAGGAAAGTTAAGGCCCCTGACAAATGGCACTTTCTTGCCCCTCTTACACAGGTGCAAAGTAAGCATTGCCTTTTAATCCCTGAAGATTTTAAGACAGTTTGTGGGTTTTCACTGACACAGTTTGAGAAACACTGCTCTAAATATTATGCTTACTTTGATATTTCTTTTTTTATAATAAAAATAATCCACAAATTAAAGCTTGAGAATGACTGCACTGGAAGACAAAATTAGGTACTCTTACTGATAAAAAGAATGAGTTTGGATTTCAGGCTTAGTGACTATTCTGTACAAAATGAACAGAAAAACAAAAGAGGCATGGATGGACACAAGAACAAAACCATTATTAGCATAAGAATTAACAGACCAGACTCAGTGGTAGAGAATAAGAGAAAGGGTGAAATGCTCTTAATAGGGATAATAGACCATGACCAATTAATTATAGACTGTCACAGTAGATAAAAAGAGGAAGTGCGATATTCTTTGGGATGAGTTATCTGTCCTGGACAAATTCCAGCAGGACATGAGGAAATCAAACAGAACACAGAATAATTCTTCATTGTGCAGGACTGACCCAAACACTCTAGGATATCTGTCATCCCTGTCCCTAGTGACTAGATGCCAGTAACATCCCCCATTTATTGAGTCAGCCAAAATATCCCTGGTGAAAACATCATAGGCTGCTTCCACGCTTAAAATTCTAGATTAGCTTAAATGTCATTTCCTTATTTAGTTAGGGACTTCTATACATAAGGTAAAGACTTACGTATTTCCTTTTCCTATTTCCAGTGGAGTTCACTGGGATATCTGCTCATCAGCACCTAATTCTGCCAGGTAAAGGCACAAGAGTAGTGGGTATGGGGTTGTGTGTGGTTAAAATGGAGATGGAGTTTGAATGGAGGAAAATGGTGGAACAAGAGTGGAAATCATTCTTGTTGAGGTTTGAGTGCATCTGAATGGGGAGGGGGGACAGGAGTGAGTCAGTTCACAGTTGGGAAGTAGGATACACTCACTCTGTGGTGCCCTTTGCAATACCTGGGACACTCCCATCTACTATATAACCATGGGTTGGGATCCTGGATCAATGGATACTGGGTCTGTAGTAGGACTGCCTACAGGAAGATCATTCAGTGTCAGTCCACAATAGGGGAAGTGACACGCTTGGTTTGAAGGCTTCAGTCAGATAGTCAATTCAAGAAAATATGACACCTTCCCATGATATCCTTGGCTGAGGGATTTCTCCTCTCTCACCTGGATGACTCCTACCTCACATAATGCTTATATACCATGGCCTTTTCCTGTCTTTGGCCTGCTGATTTTAGGTGGCCTGTAGATCCTCTTATGTGGCATGTAGCACCTCCCTGTAGAGACCTAGAGTTGGGGTGCTGATGTGGGAGCTCTTGGTCTGAAAGGATTAAACCTGCTTACACTGGTGTCGTTCTCACCTTCAAGACAAAAGGACTCTAATTAATTTGGGACACACCAGAACTTTCCCAATCTCCTAAGCAAACTTAGAATCTGCCATGTCCGGACTTATCCTACTGTTTCCCAAAGTGACTTCACCATTTTATATTTTATTTTATTTTATTTTATTTTTTTTCAAATTTTTTTTTTCAACATTTATTTATTTTTGGGACAGAGAGAGACAGAGCATGAACGGGGGAGGGGCAGAGAGAGAGGGAGACACAGAATCGGAAACAGGCTCCAGGCTCTGAGCCATCAGCCCAGAGCCCGACGCGGGGCTCGAACTCACGGACCGCGAGATCATGACCTGGCTGAAGTTGGACGCTTAACCGACTGCGCCACCCAGGCGCCCCATCCATTTCATATTTTAACAAACATATATATGAGTCTCAATTTCTCCATATCCTTGTCAACATTTATTACTGTCTTTTTGATTATCATACCCTTTGAGGCACACAAGCTTTCAACTTTGATAAAGTCTAATTTATCTGTTTTTTTCTTTGGTTGTGTTTTAGGTGCAACATTTAAGAACCCATTGCCTAATCCAACTTCAAAAAGTTTACACCTATGTTTTCTCTAAGAGGTTTATATTCTTATCTCTTACATTTAGGTCTTTGTTCCATTTTAATTAGCGTGTGTGCGTGTGTGTGTGTGTGTGTGTGTGTGTGTGTGTATGTTTGTGTATGTGTAAACAGTGTAAGGTGTGGCTCCAAAGTCACCCTTCTTTTGCATGTGGATATCCAAATGCTACAAGGTCTTGATGGTACAACCTTTTACAAGAATAGTGGTATAGTGGTATCAGTTAAACAGCTGTTTTACTGGAGTAAAGATTGAGCCTCTCATGCAACCATTCCAGAAACCTCTTTACTATTTATTATCTTTAAATATTACTGATGTCCTTCCAAGAGGATTTAAGTCTTTTTAAACTATCTTTTAACCTCTCAAAATGTTGTGAATCATATCATTTTTAGTTTCCTTGTTGACTACCTTTTATTAGTATGCTTTGAATGGTTAGGATGCTCTTGGTTGAAACTAACAGAAAATTTACTCAAACTGTGTTAGTTAATTAGTAAATTTAATATTTAATGGAACAGGAAATCCAAAGGTAGTGTGGGCTTCAAAGCTGGCTGACTCAGTGGTTAAATGAGGTTATCAAGAACTCATGTTCTTTTCTTTTTAAAACAAATCTTTTTTTTAATGTTTTTATTTATTTTTGAGACAGAGACAGAGCATGAGCAGGGGAGGGGAGAGAGAGAGAGAGATACAGAATCCAAAGCAGGCTCCAGGCTCTGAGCTGTCAGCACAGACAGAGCCCGACGTGGGGCTCGAACTCACAGAGGGCGAGATCGTGACCTGAGATGAAGTCGGACGCCTAACCGACTGAGCCACCCAGGCACCCCAAGACCTCATGTTCTTTTCTTTCCTTCGTTGTGCTCTCAAAAATAAAGGCTTTGTACCAAGCGGGTTCCCCACTTATTCATAAGATGGCTGCCAAAAATTATCTCTGTTACACACTTTCTTGTTTATGTCCAATGGGAGAGAGAATGGCTTTTCTATCTCATGTCTTAAGAGTAAAGACAAACTTTCTTCTCATGTCATTGGTCAAAACTGGACCACATGCAGATTTGTAAACCAATCACTGGCAAAGGAAGCCAAGGATGGGGTCTGCTACCCAGGAGCCACCTGGTCTATGCTGGGAGAGTTGAATACTTGAGAATAAAACTCAGAGTTATATTAGAAAAGAAGGATGTAATGGTACTAATTAGCAACCAAAAGTGTCGGCTACAACTTTTTTTCGATCAACTTTCAACAGTATATCTTGACTTATCTTAAAAAAATAGGTATCAACTCCTTCTACCCTTTCTTCTACTTATCCTTTCCCACTTCCTCTTCTCAACTTCTCATGTGTTAACTACTTTATCAAGATCACATCCAATACTGTTAATTTAAGCACAATTGCCTAACCAGTGAATGTTACAGTACAAGTTTAAAATCATTTTGCTGAGGTACAGTCTATGGAATAAATCTGGGGGGAATTTCATTATTATCTCTATCCACTGAGTTACTGTAACAGAATTATGTTAGAACCAACCCCTGAAACATTGGCCAAATATCTTGAGTTCCTTTAGGAAATGACAGCTTTCCCACTCTGACCTTTGACAGTAATTATCCCTTTTTGTTCGCAACTGGAATGCTGACATTGAGTAACTGAGAGTATTCATTCACTTAATAAGTAACTGTCAGGGTTCAGTAAGGTTAAGAGAATACTCTAAGACTGTAAACTAACTTCTCCAAAGTATCACCAAAAGCATTTGAAACCAGAAGAGGAAAAAAAAAATTCATTTACAATAGCAACAACAAAAAATATACAGGCAGAAAACTAGTAAGAATTGTGCAGAGCCTTTAGGAAGGAAATTGCAGAAATTTATTAAGATGACATCCAATAACAATCACCCAATATTATATAAATGTCAATTAAAAACTATGAATTATCTCCAAATAACTTATAATTTTAATTCACTTGTGAGTTATTAAAACACAGTCTAGAATAATTTTAAGAGGTATAGGGCAAGATAGAAATATGAATGGAAAAGAAAAAGGTGTCAAGAAACACATTTACATTGTAGTAATTATTATTACTTTTTAAAGAATGACAATTCAACTAGAATAGGAAAAAAGGATTGTTCAGCAAATGATACTAGGATAAATGTCTAAGGATATGGAAGAAAATGGACTCCGTTCTTTTTTTTAAATATTTGTTTGTTTGTTTGAGAGAGCTTGCATGAGCAGGAGAGAGGCAGAGAGGGAGGGAGAGAAAGAGAATCCCAAGCAGGCTCCCCCTGTTGGCTTGGAGCCCAATGCAGGGCTTGAGATCCCATGAGATCATGACCTGAGCCAAAAAAGAAAAAGTCAGATGTTCAACCAAATGAGTTACCCAGGCGCCCCAAAAGTACTCCATTCTTACTCAAACCATGCATCATACAAGATGCTAAATGGAGTTAAATATGGGATAGGAGGACAAAGTGGAAACCTAAAATAAATGTGGATAAAGAGAATTTTTATATAATTCTGTAGTTAATAGGTAAGGCCTTTTAATTCCTAACTTTAAAATTAGAAATATTAAAGACCTATGTTGCTACATGAGACCACATAAAAGTTCTGCACATCCATAAAATACAAACATAACTAAAATACAAATGACAAAACAGGAAAATGATTTACCCCATAGGACAAAAGCAGACACTAATTAAAAAAAAAATCTTGTTAATAAGCAAGAAAAAGATGAACAAACCATAAGAAAAATCAGCAAAGGTCATGGCCAAGAAATACAAATGCCCTGAATGTGGAGAAAATAAGCTTTTGTATAATACTGCTTATAACAGTTTTTGAGCACAGTTTGGCAACATACACATAGCTTTAAAACACACAACAGCTTTAATTACCAGTTCTACTTCTTGAAATCCCTCGCAAAGAAATGCTCAGAGATGTGTGCAAATATTTATCTCCATATATCAGCAATTAAGTAAATGACAAATAACTAAATGTCCCATAATATTGGTAGTTTAAGTAGATCATGATATAATCACAAGAGTTTTAAGTAAATCCAAGCAGGTTAAAAGCCTTACATACAATATAGTCACATTTTTTTCTGTAAGAAAAATAATTAAGTACATGTATGTAAAATATTCTGGAAGTATACTCACTCACTGTGGTCTTTAAATGTTAGGACTATAGAGGATTTTTGAGCTTAGAACTTTAACTGGATGTTCTGATTTTTCCCATAATGAAATTGTATTACTTCTATAATTTAAAAAGTTATTTCTATAAGAAAATTAGACCATAACGTTTTGGCTACTAGCAATGTCACTTTCCCTAATTTATACTCTGTTATTTCCTGAGCTTTTATCAAAGTATACTAGAAGATGTCAGGAAACCTGATACACCACTTGCTCTGAAGATGTTTTTGAGGACACTGCCTACTCCACTTCTTAGTATGCCCTGGAAGAGAAATCACATAAAAAATTCCCTTTCAAGCACCAGAAAAACCTTTGCTTACTCTTGGGAAGTGGGATACTTCTTTTAATGAATCATGAGAATCATTTAATTGTGTCCTTACTTTTATTTTAACTCAGGTGGCAGAATATTTAAAACCAAATACTTCACCTAATTATAGTTACTAGGTAGCATCATCTGGCTTGTGTATCTGTTCATCCACCCTCACCTGCAGAACATGGAGATAGCATTTTTTCCTGTGATGGGTGGCACAGAGTAGTGCCCTCCATAAATGTTAGCTCTACTTACTTCTATCCTTCTTCCCTTTTTCCTTAGCAATTCTTGATGTTCCACATTCATTAGTTTTTCCTGTCTCCATTAGTATGTTTTTGTAATGTGTTTATTTATTTTTGAGAGACAAAGAGCAAGAGAGACACAGAGTGCGAGCAGGGAATGGGACACAGAGAGAGGGAGACAGAATCTGAAGCAGGCTCCAGGCTCCGAGCTGTCAGCACAGAGCCCGACGCGGGGCTCGAACTCATGAAATGAGAGATCATGCCCTGAGTCGAAGTTGGACAGTTAACTGACTGAGCCGCTCAGGCGCCCCTCCATTAGTATGTTTTAAAAATTATATTTCATCTTTACTGATAATTAGTTAAGCAAATCCTTGCTCCAATTTTACTTCTTCTCATTCAAGAAGAAAAACCTTAAGAATAAGGATGTTGAAAAGACATGGAGGGTGGGGGGAAAGGCATGAGTTTTCCTCAGATATTTACAGCATTATTCTCAAAGACTCCAGAGGAAATAACAAGGCCCAAAGAATGAGTAGCAGTAAAAGGCAAATATGAGGAATAAATAATCAACAGGGCTGCTTCAAGTTTTAATGAAATGCCCTTGCCATTAGCAATGTCCAAGCCAGGGGGCGCCAGGGTGGCTCAGTCGGTTGGGCGACCAACTTCGGCTCAGGTCATGATCTCACGGTTTGTGAGTTCGAGCCCCGCGTCGGGCTCTGTGCTGACAGCTCAGAGCCTGGAGCCTGCTTCTGATTCTGTGTCTCCCTCTCTCTCTGCTCGTCCCCCACTCATGCTCTCTCTCTGTCTCAGAAATAAACAAACATTAAAAAAAAATTTAAAAAAAAAAAAAAAAAGAAACGTCCAAGCCAAGACTGAACAACTGGTTAGAATATCTTAGAAAAGATCTCAGCATAAAGTAGGAGATTAGACATGAGAACTTCTTTTCATCTAGGATTCTATGATTTTCACACAGTTCTATGAGTTGGGCAAGCACTGTTTTATAAAGTAGAGAATAAGAAATCATCCTGTATATGATTTTCAATAATGTTCTATAATCATTTATAAAGTACCTTAAGAATGAGAACAAAGCTGTAGCCAGAACAATCAGGCAATCGTGTTAGTGAAAGAGAACAATTACCTGTCTGGAAAAAGACTCTGGAAATAATTGTCCGGCACAACGGGCAGGGAGTGCTTGCAGGATTGTCTTTGGCAAGAGTCCGTAAGCAGGGCTCACAGAAGATGTGGTGGCAAGGGTAACACATGTATGGGTTGAAATAAACATCCAGACATACTGCACAGATGTAACTTTCCTTTTCTTCTGCATATTCATTGTCATCATCTGTACTCATCTCATTATTCAAAGTCTGTAAAACATAAACAAAAATAATTTCTCTCAGTTCAGTATGAGATTGGTTTCCTTGAGAAAGAGAGACTGCCTTTACATTTTGTTAAAATGAATAAAAATATTTATGAGAAGCACATAATATCTCTTTCTGTGACATATTTCAAGTGACAGAAAGGCTATCTTGCAAAGTGACAAGAAACTCAAAACGCACACGAAAAATCCAGAAGTCTTAATTATTCTTTTAAAAAGTACTTTTCGTATTTTTATATAATACTAAATGCTAAAATCTGTCCAAACATACTGAAGTAACCCCTATCTCTATTTAACCAGTACTAGTTAAGTATGTGTCAGGTATACTAGTCCCAGGACTACAGATTCCCCATTGATCCCACTCCCACCACAGCAAATAAAGTGATTGTCACAAGGTTATAGAGCCTTATATGGGCATCTGCATATGATAAAAAGGACAAGAGGATACCATATATGCTTCATCCCCAGACCAGGCATGCACTATCTACTCTACACTTTGTCCCTTCGTGGACCCCAAGGCCAAGAAACGGCCAAAGACTAACATATGTCAGGAAATAGACAAGGCAAAGAGACTTGTAGCAATTTGGGGATCAGCCTTGTAGCTGAGAAATGGGATGAGTCCCTTCCCTCCTCCCAAAAAAGAATAGTTAAGAAAGATGTAGTTAGGAAAGAGGCAGCTCAGAGGTTAGCAGCGTGAGGCCTGGTAACAGAATGCCTGTTACTTAGGCTCACGATTTCCCCATCTGTGAGGATGACGTGAGGATTAAATGAGGTAATCCACTAGATATCAAGCATTCTGTGAAATCCCATATAACATAAACAAAGTTTAAAACAGGACATGAAGTAAAAGTCTCTCTCCAAAAGAAAGCTTGCAGCTAGGACCTGCACAATAATAAAGAAAAATCTGTAGGAAAGGCAACAGAATCCATAATTTTTTGTTCATTTTTGATACATGAATATTCTTTCCTAAACTGAAAAGATATTTGCAAAATGAAAGGTATAAGTAAATGATTAGTAGTGAACTGGGCACCCCAGATAAAAACATCTATGGACCTAGATGCTGACTTACCTAAATTTTATTTCATAATGCCAGCTTATTCTGCTTGCATTATACTCTCAGGACTGTGCCTTGAGATTTGAACTAATTAACCTTAAAGAAACCCATGGCATAAAAAAACCCCATCATTTGTGGAACCTCTTGAAGCATTTCAAATTGTGACCCAAATATTTGTGCAGAATTTTATTTCTATAAAGGACTTTACATATCCAACAAAAGTAACTAGACCACATTAAAATACACAAGGAAATAAAAGCTTTGCTCTTTAAAAACACAATATTTTGCAAATAAACTTGATGTGAGTTTGAAAATAGAAAATGAGGTTGGAACTATTCATCTATTATTTGATCTAAGTGAATCAATCCTCAAAACAGAAATAACGTATATAAAATTCACTACGTTTTAGGGAGTTAAAAAGGTTTAAAGTTTTCATTAATCCAGAAAACTGCACCTGTCTGGTAATAAATACTGTTATACAAAAAGACAAACAAATTATCTCAAGGATAGAATACCAGTGGGTATTTCTCCAAATTGCAGCGATGGAGGGTTGTAGAATAGTAAATTTGCTGTTGGATGGGGAGTTACATTTTTAAGTTTTTATTTAAATTCCAGTTAGTTGAACAATTATATTTTAAAAATTAATACTCATTAATGGATCACTGCCAACATAGAAAGAGGTTTTTAATAGGTATGTCGAAGAACTCATATTCGTCTCCTCAATATTTCAATGGCCATAGATGAAGACCCCAGAAATGCTTATCAGAAATGTAAGGAAGGGGACAGGACAGATAGCTGGCTAATTAAGGACCAAAATCCTTTCTGGAATAAGGCATGCCATTAGCAAATAATATAAAAATGTACACTAGGCTAAACCAGTTGGCAGAGTCAAGATTTTTAAAAAGTCTCCATAGGTAGCTGGGCTGAAATCAAGATTGAATTTAACAGATACATATAAATTCCTAATTGAAGACTCTAAAAGAAACTGCACACCTATACGATGAATAAAATTTAGCTAAAGCAATTTATGTCAAGAAGAGCTAGGGATTTTATCTGGATTTTAACTGACTTAACTAAGCTCAGTGTATGATGTAGTTACTTAAAAAGCCAATCAAGGGGCGCCTGGGTGGCGCAGTCGGTTAAGCGTCCGACTTCAGCCAGGTCACGATCTCGCGGTCCGGGAGTTCGAGCCCCGCGTCAGGCTCTGGGCTGATGGCTCAGAGCCTGGAGCCTGTTTCCGATTCTGTGTCTCCCTCTCTCTCTGCCCCTCCCCCGTTCATGCTCTGTCTCTCTCTGTCCCAAAAATAAATAAACGTTGAAAAAAA